AAAGAATGTTTTTGACGTGGTTAGCGGAAAGCAGGTTTTCTATTGAGAAATGTTTTTGACGTGGTTAGTAGAAAGTAGGTTATGTTTTTTCGTTCATACGTAATTTTTGACAGCATTCGTGAGTCAAATACGGGTTGTGTTCAGTGTTATCGCGAGAAGAAAATGCAGTTTTCGGTCGGTAATTCGGGAGCCTGTGAATGCGAGTTTGAAAATTATGTTTCGTTATGAGTAAGAAGGAAAGATTGTGTGTTTTTTGTTATGAAAAATGGCAGACGAAAAATGTTTGCTTGATTTATGGCAGAGTGGTTGAGTGAAGGAGTGAGAATATAAATAATTGTTTGCCTATCGTTCATCCAATGATATACACGTAAAGTTGAGATTTTCGACGTTTGTCTGTATTGTAGATATATTTTATCATGCACACTATCATTTGTGAGACTATCAGGTATATCAACATTTCTCTTTTCAAGTAGTACGTCTACAATACATAAACAAATATTTTTATTTTTGAACTTATTTAAAAGCATTAATATACAATATTAGAAAATAAATAACAATTCGATTCGTTTTTAAGAATTACAGAATTTATCAAATTGTTTTGTTTAAAATAATTATGGGATCACATTGAACAACAGAAGAAGTAAATTTATTAAAAGAATTAAATATTATCCCGATCAATGGAACTATTTTACCAGATGATCCCTTAATTATTTCCTCAGCTTCCACGGTAATAAACACTCAAAAATACGACTGTTCTTTCTAAACTTTTTACTGCAAACAAACTAACCAGTAGCAAAATATTAACGGCAACTTATGACCTTTAAACTTTCACGAAATATCTGAAACAAATACATTTAACGTTAGTTGAGAACCCGCATCTTATTCCCTAGCACAGCTTTAGTCTGCATTGGTAGCGGTAAACGATTTTAATTATCTTCCATGGAAAGCAATACAACTACTACAATTTTACCCCTTCTTTCACGACTATTCTTTCATTTTCATTCAGTGTTACTAACACAAAGGAATAAAAATTACGAAAGCACAATTCTCTTTTGTAATCAGAAAATAAGCAACGGAGCAATAAATACTTTTAACCTGAACACCCTTAACCTCCAAATCCAAAATAAAAATATTCCTTTCAGTTTCTAGTTTAATAAAACTTTTTGCTTTGTATGGAAATATATTATATGTCTCTAAATCCTGGTTCCTCTTGGTATAAAGTTTCGCAAATCTCAAAGACAATATAACTTCAAAACATGATTTTCAATATTCAATATATGGAATGTAAATACCAAAACTTATAGGTTAGCACAGTGCACATATCGATTGAAAAGGATCCCAGCAAACAGATCGAAAAATCAAACTCAATAATCCGTTAAATCCGTAAATTCGTTGAAACGGGGGGCCAAACAGTGCAACTGTTCATCCCCTCCACGTTCGCCGCCATTTGCACAAAGGCTGCGCGCGATGAAAAGTGCCCACGGGACATAACAGTGCACCGCGATAAAAATTTTCCAAGTGGGAAACACCCTCGAGTCCTATCCGACGGAAGAAAGCGATGAAAACGTCGTTTCGCGGGCCTCTCCGCCGTCGAAGGAGGAAAACTAAGAAGACTCGAGATAAAAGAGGGGAAGAACCGTGAATCAGACGTCTCGTTACAAATGGGGCTTTCGATCTGTGTTTCGAGTACGCGTTGTCGGCGCAACGATCGAGGAACCGAGCGAATCTGAAGCGCTAGGAACGTTCGGGGGTGAGGAGGGCGCGACGGTCGAGGATCGTTTTCCAACGATCGACGAGCCGTGCGAGAAACTACGAGAGGTTTTCTGCGCCACACGCACACGGCCGGGACCACAGATCGCGCTCTTTGTGCTGGGTTTTATCGACTACCGATCGTTTTCTTCCGCTGTAAAGTAGTTTTATGTTCCATCTGGTGAACATCGGTGGGGTTAGTTTGTTTTCGTGCAGTGGGCAAGAGAGAGTACCGGAGGTTATTAACGACTAGAAGATTTGCGATCGTTAATTGTGACTTACGGGAGTTTGCATGGTCGGTAAATTAAAACTTTTTGCAACATGTATTCGGTACACACTTGTCTTTATAATAAACATAATGATAATAGCAATGATATCTTTATTTGGATTGTATATAAGTATAAGTGACATGGAATATGAAGCTTTTTTTTGGGTACAATGATCTTGACAACCTTTATGGTTATGGAAATAAACATAAAATAGGAGATGCGTTGATTTTTATTCTTTTTAATTATATTATGTGAAAGAGTATTAAAGTACATAACCTTGAAGTTTTACTTTTAAGTATTAAATAAAAATTAAGGAGAGAATATACCAATTGCACAAGCATAAAAAAATAAACTTCAACAAATCACTACTTGAAATCCTACTATTACTTCTCCAATAATACTGATAATCATAAATTTACTACAGTAACGTATCCGGAATTTAACTGATGTGCATAAATGGAACGAAATGAAAAAAAAATTCGGTAATAAAGCAAATAATGGCATGTAAACTGGTGGAAATACGAACTTAATTTCATCGGCAATTGCACCGCGAGTACAAGCAGGGTGCAATTGTGAATGGTCGAAATTTAACCTGCAAACAGTATGACCAAAATTCCTGCTTATTTTACTTGCAAATGCGAGAAATATCGTTATACGTCGCGCGACTCTCGTGCACAGCCGAAAACTTCGTTATTGAAATACGACAAAATTCATTTTTCCAACACGCCGATGAACGTTACGCGTTTTATTCATAATTTCACAAAGTACGAACTGCTTCTGTAACTGGCGCGCATGCGGCCATATTGAACAACGTTGCAAATGACGCAAATGTTCCACAATTCGGACCCATAGTTGCCAAAGTCATTAGGGTCGAAAGCAATTACTACGTATTACCACGTTAACACTTTCAAAAGCGTTAAAACCCATTCCCACGGAGAACACTACTAATACGACCTCTACGACAGTAATCATAAATCGTTACAGCTTTCTGTTCAGTACTGACAACCCACGAATAATGAAACAATTACATGTAACTAAATGCATGTAAATAAATGCAAAAATTGAGGTTATGTTATGGATGCACACTAGTGATCTCTATTTACACAATACTAATTCACCATACACATCGTGAGTTAGGTATAAGAAAATGAAGGTTATGTTATAAAAAGGGTGGCAAAACTATACCGACTTACTTTTATCACCATAGAAACTACCAACTTTATTAAAAAAAAAAAGAGAAAAAAAATAGCAATAATCATAAAACCAGCGAATCTGGTGATAATTTAATTTTCTCGAAATGCCCCGAGCGTGTCAGTGCAAAACCGCACCATAGAAGTGGGGCATTAATGGGCAGAGGTAACCTATACGCAACGTGTTTGCACGCTCGCCGCAATTTCGACGGACCCCACGTCCAGTATTAACGCCTCTAACGGGCACAAACTGGTCTAAGTAGCGTTAGACGGTTTCGAGGCTGGCAGAAATTACGCGAACGCCAGCTAGCGTCCTGGTCTGCATGAAATACAAGCCGTCTCTTGGTAAGAGGAGGCAGTGTATTGTGCTCGATTGCAGTCCACCGCAAGCGTTAATGCACAAACATCTTGCTCTCACGTTGATCTCAGCTCAGGGTTACCCTGGCTTGCCTCAATAACGAGGCCTCGACGCAACCGCTAGGATTCTCATTGTCCCGAAGGTCACGTTCTGTTTGTGTTTGCCGGGCCGCGCGCGAAACTTCCTGATTGAAACGGGCGGTCATGTATCCCCGACTAATTACCGACGGGACAAAGCTGAGAAACTTCGAACGTTATCCGTCGAGATCAATGAAAAAAAAACCATCTGAACCACTGCACTTGATTCCGTATGCCAATATCAGGGGAACATGTTTCGGGTGGAAATGACACTTTGTTGCTTTTGTAAGTTCGTGATGTCGGTAATGCAGTAGTTCGTAGGTTAGTGTCACGAGTGAAATGAGATTAGTTATATTTGTTGTTTTATGGTACTGTATCGGTAAATAATACCGTGAGAGGAAACAAGATGGAGAAGTGTTTGTCATTGGCGGTCGACAATCGAAGAAAGTTTCGATTCGAAAATCGAAGTGCACTCGGTATTACTTTTGGTGAAAGATAATAGATCGAAGAAGGTCGTGTTTGGACTCGTTTTCATTGAGAAAATCTA